TTATTATCTTTTAAAAGTTACAGGTCTATCCACATTTTCTATTTGTTTTCATGACTTACTTTAGGTAAATTTAGTGTTTTTAGAAAAAATACCATTTCATCTAGGCATACAATTTGTTAGCCTAGATATCCATCTTATGCTGTTAATTTCTATAAAATTGGCAATAATGCTATTATAATGTTGATTCTCTATTTTATTTATCTCTTCTCTAAAATCTTTGCTACTTTATTCTTTCACTAGCTTTGAATTTAATTTTATTTTTCCATAAGTGGTAAAGTTAATTTATGGATAAATCTTTTTACTTTTGAATGTATTCGTTTATAGCTATAGATTGTCATCTTAGGACTGCTTTAGCTTCATTCCATGTTTTCCTATGATGTGTTTTTATTTTTATTTATTTGTCTCAGGTACTTTCCAATTTCTTTTTTTATTTATTCTTTGAGACATTGACTATTTAATAGTACACAGTGCAATTGTTTAATTTCTGCCTGCTTATGAATTTTCAAGATCTCCTTTTGGTTGATTTTGAGGTTTTTTTTTTTTTTTTTCATTATAAGGAAATATACTTCGGAATGACTATCCTCATGCCAATTACTTGTGCATGGGTATATGTGTGTGTTTGTGTTTGTGTTTCTGTTTTGTGGCTTAACATGTTATCTACTAAGATGAATCTTCCATGTGAATTTGAAAAAAAAAATGTTCTGCTGTTGTCAGGTAGGGTGTTCGGTAAATATCTGTTTATTACAGGATTTTTTTTCTTTTTTGTCTTTCTTACTGGTGCATTATAATTATCCCCAATACTGAGATTTAACATGACACAATAATACATTGACATAAAATAATTTGATCAGTCTCATGTTCCAGTATGGGTACAGTTTTTAAATAATGATATTCAAATCTTCTCTTTTGTCTTTTCTCTATTTTCTTTGTTTTTAAGGTCCTATTCATGATTGAAAAGAGCATCTCAAAATCTCAAACTTGAGTTTAGCACTATTTCTTTATTTAATTCTGTTCAATTTTGTTTCATGAGTTTGGGACTATGATTTTTTTTGTAGAGGTCTGTTTCTAATTGTAGTATCCTTTTTGTGAATACACTTTTATGACCATGACCTTATGAGTTTCACTTTAAATTATTTGCACCTTTAGGTCTAAAATGAGTCTTTTGTAAACAGCATAAAATTAGATCATGGGTTTTTATTTGTTTTCATTATTTAAATCCATTCTGGCAATCTATGTCTTTAGATTTTCATCTGCTTATAATTGAAGTAATTTCTAAAAGGGAAGGAATTTGGCATTATGTGGTGTTTCCTGTATTTTTTCAGCCTTTTTTGTTCTTCCTTTTCTTCCTGTCTCTTATTTTGTGCTTAGTTGATACTTTTGAAATGAGACATTTCATTATTTCATTTGCTTTCTCATTTCTTTTTGTGTATATTCTATTTTGGATATTTTCTTTATGATTACATGCAGATTACCTGTAGCCTTCTAATGTTATATATAGCAAGCCAATCTGAATTTCTGCCAACTTAACTTTAATTACATACAAAAATTCTACTATAGTCTGAAATCATGTAACATTTTGTTACCAATGCCACAAATTACATCTTTACATGTTGTGGGCTCAATAACATATATTCATAATGATTTTTTGCATTTGTCTTATAAATGCTGCAGAAAAGAAAAATAAAGTTACAAAACAAGATTATAATAAAAAATGGGTCATATATTTGCTCTTTTATTTATCTTTCTATGTTCATATGGCTGTGAGTTATTGTCTGGTGTCTTTCACTTTTTACTTGAAGGACTTTATTTAGTATTTCCTAGAATGCAGTTGTAGAGCTTCTCTTCTGGATCTTCAATAATCTATTGTATGACTCCACCCAAAATCTTTGGCCCAAGGCATCTATGATTTGTCTCCTGAAGGTTTGTGGTTGTTATTAAGTAGAGTGCCTGTTCCTTTTTTATCCATGTTTCAAGTTATGCAGAGGAAAGTTGAGGGAATCAGTCCATGAAGTGTCCCCAAGACAAGTAAAAACTGGTCCCTCTGATTGAAGGAGAATAATTTTAAACTGGGTCCACTGCTCAAAAACCAAAACTGTTTCCATACTGGGAATACAGTAGGGAAAGTGTGATAAAACACTACATACACATTTCTGTGACTTTGAAGATGGCTTTTTCTCCATTGAACACTTATATTATTGCTATCAAAGTTTCATTTCTTTCCAGAGATTCTGCAAAGTTGGCCTGGAAGCATTCAGGTCTTCTGTTGCTTTTGTTTGATTGTATGTTTGTTTGTTTGTTTGTGTGTGTATATGTGTGTGTGTGTGACTGTTTGTTTTGGAATGCTTCCATGGTTAGTAGGGCATTGAGATTCAAAGACACCATTTCTCTGAACAGCATTTATGCTATTAGTTTGTTCCTATAATTCCATTTTTAGATTCATCCCAAAACATTTGAAGATCCATTGAAATTTCAATTACTAGAATGAGGCTCACAGCAATTTAAAAAAATAATTAATTAATAAATACTCCTGCCCAACTCTGTAAGACTCCAGATCCCATTCCCCCAAGGCAACCACTTGCAAACTTACTAGCTTTCATTTATGATATTATGCCCTTCTTTCTAATTATAAGTTTGTTCTGGCTGGTGTTTCTTTTTGTTTCTCTCTTTACAATGGAGATAAAGCATTGGCTTCTTCATAACTGGTTCCCCTGCATGCTTCTGTAATGTCATCTTTCATCCTGCCTACATGATCAAATCACCATGATGTTTTGAACTCAAACATTAACATCAGAAGTGTCCTCAGTATCCAGTGGTCTTGTCTCTCTTGGGTACTAGCATGATTGGAGCCTTGTGTGTGGGAACTTCAAACAGTTTTCTAGGGAGTGGTTTGTCTCTGTATTCCTTTACTCTTTCCATAAACACTATCTTTCTTCTTACTTTTTTTTGTTTTGAGATTTTTTTTTAAACATCATCTATTGGTTCTTTATTTTTATCTATCTATCTATCTATCTATCTATCTATCTATCTATCTATCTATCTATCTATTTCGTGTGGTGCTGTGGATCAAACCCAGTGCATCACATGAGCTAGGCAAGCATTCTACCACTGAGCTACAAACCCAGACCCCTTTCTTCTATGTTTTAGAATACACAGCATCTTTGGAAATCATCTCAAACTGAAACTTTTGCAGAGCATATGAAGAGGTTGATGACTCTGGCTCCCCACGAGTCTTCAGTGGACAATACTCCTGGCTACAGAGTCGGGGTTGGGGAACAGGAGAACAATAAGAAGAGTAAGAAAGAAAGCAAACAGTGTTACCCTCAGTTAGGAGAAGGAGTTGTCTTGCACATTAGCCTGGGTGGTGTGGAGAGCAAAAGTTTGTGTTATGGATGGGCTTGATATCTAGCACTTAGTCAGCCAGATATTGTTGGATACCACATCATCATCCAGGTATGCCAAATGAAGTGGGCAGTGTGTGGGATTTGGAGAAAGATCTGGTTTCAGATCCATGCTAGATATGAATATGGTCAAGAATTGCTTGCGGTTTCAGAGCCTCAGTTTTCTCAGTTGTGCAAGGGAATAAGTTCATATTAAAAGGAATGCATGCACATCAGTTTCCTGGCATATATGCTCAGTGAATGATAATCCTGATATTGTTAGGGTTATATAGATCTTATTTCCTCATAGGCTACATGCAGTTGTGTATGAAGCCTAGAGGAGGTAGTGGATGGTAGAGAGAAGGTTGCTATTGCTAAGTGACAATCAGCACATATAAGCATGACCTTCCAGACACTCAAATTTAAGGACACGGTGATAAATGGAGAGAAGAAATGGTGACTCCTGGTAGGGATTATGACTCTCATAACATATCAATCACATTAACCACCATGGATCCAGGAAAAATGTCCAGACAAGGGCACCAGCCTCAGTTTCATCATAGACCATCTCTCAGAACTTGGACAAAGAGCATAGACATTAAGCTTGACATTTCTCTTCCATACCTGGAATCTACTTGCTGTTCCTTTATGCAATGTAGACTGACAGCTGTAGAACTGCAAACACCTTTGTCCCTAGGATGTAGCCCAGATGGAAGTGATTCCCACAATGGGAAGATCAGGAGGACCTAATTTCTTTTACCTCCTTCCCTACAATCCAGGGACTAAATGTGAGACAAAGCGAGGAGGGACCTGAGAGTCAGGATAGGAAGAGCCTGTGGGTCTCCTCCTAGTTGGAAATGATGACAGCTGGACATGCTGCTTCCCTGGCAGTGCATACTGGAAAAGGCCTTCTGTGCTCAGAGTAGCTGAGTACTGCAAGCTGGTGAGAAACCTAGGATATAAAGTAAGCTCCTGTTTCCATCTGTACTTGCTGAGGTTTAGGTTCTTATTGAAAATTCTTGCACTTGCTGCTGTGAGTGCTGGGAAATGTGGGACAGTGAGAGGAATCTGGCAATATCATGGGGTTACAGATCAGACATAGGTCTGCAAAAGAATTCCCACCCTGAGGGATGGGGGACTTACAGACCAGGACTGGTCACACCCTGGGCCTGGGCTAGGGCTGTCCAGGTGCATTTGATGGCAGTGATGCCAAGGACCCTTATCTGGGCACCCACAGAGAGAACAGGAAATGGTTTAAACAAGGGCAAATGGAGGGGAAAAAGAGACTTTGCATATCAGACCATATGGAGGTGATGGACCTTTCCATCCAAGATACCTTATCCATTTAGAGTCTACACAGACCCCATGTAGCATGACCGGCCACACTGGTAAATTATCAAAGTTTTCTCATTTTGGGATGCCCCACAGTCCCAGGTTGGTGGGGCTGCTTGGCCACTCTCTGCTACTCCTGGCCCTTACTAATGTCACCTCTAAGGATGATTCACTCTAGCTCTTGGTTCTGGGGTGCACTTATTAAAGAGCCTGCTGGACAGTGGGGCAAGGCAGAAACTGCCCACTTGTTGAATATGCCATATCCCCAACTCGTGTTTCCTTTGCTTTTAGGTCCAGCAGTGTGCATGGCGACTGGATTCACATTTATTCCTTTGTGGAGCATTTGGTGCATAAATTCAAAAAGTATGGCTTCTCCACACTGCAGGCTCCTCTATGTTGCAGGGAGTGCTACTCTGGCAGGCAGAGGGCATGGCAAATACATTTTGTGGGTGTCAGAGCACCCTCATGTAGGGAGTACAGAGCCCAGGGTGCTGGTTCACAAAGGAACAAACCACACTAGATATGTGGGGTCTTAGCAACATTGGACAAAGAGCATAGATGTTAAGCCTGACATTTCAGGGGGACAGGGCATAGTGCAGAGACACGGTCTTGCCTCCAGGACCTCACAGGCTGGGAAGAAGTCAAGACAGACAAAACAGTAAATCAGTAACTGGCCCCAGGGTTTCAAGGTTCTCAGAGTATAAAGAAAGGTACAGAGAACTAGATTTGCCATGGAAGTTTAAAGGAAAAAGCAAGAATGCCAGAAATCAAAAGTAGTTTTCCCCAAAGAAGGTAGAAATTTTAACTTGATATTTAAGGATAGAGAAAAGTTAGGGTCACAGCAACCATCAAAGTGACCTCTAATGGTGGGGTTCTGGAGACCTCTAATGATGGTGATACTGAACATGCAGGGGAGTGAGGGAAATTCAGAGCCAGGCTCAAAAATGAGGCTGTAATGATCAGCTTGGGGCCAAGTCAAGTGACTCATCATATCAGGTCAAGGGACATAGAATTCACCCTGTGAGCCATAAGGACATCACGGAAGATTCATGGATTGGAGGAAGACAAGATCAAGATTGTGCCTTGGGAAGAAAATTCCAATAGCTATGAGTGAAGTGATTTGGGGAAAAACAAGATACTAGGAGTTCAGCCAGGGAGGCCTGTAGAAATCTTACTATGGGGTCTGAGGGTCTTGGGTTATAGGGCACTGAAGAGAGAGAGAGAAAGGGGAGGCAGGTGTGTAAATGGCTGCCAAAAAGAAGATGAACTCTTTGAGCCAGAATGAAGTGGGCTCAAAGATACAAACAAGGTGACAGTAGAAGACAGTCCAGGTTGGTGGGCTCATGGAGGAGTGTAGATGTATCTGTCTCCATGAGTGTGGGTTGTGTGTATGTGTGTGTGTGTGTGTGTGTATGTGTGTATGTGTATGTTTGTGCACATGCATGTGAGTATGTGAGTGTGAGAGAGAGAGTTGGGGTGTTGGGAATACAGAGCTGAAGCAGGAAACCTTCAGCACCCTCTTTTTCCTTGGACACTTCATCTCCATAGTCTTCAGAATCCTTCACCAAATACTTCTGACACACCCACACACACTATGTGAAATGACCCCAGTGCAGAAGAGATGGGGTGGGGATCAGGGAAATATGCATCTCCTCCCTGGCTGCTCACTGATATCAGGTAGAACAAGTGCATTGGCTTCTCATGAACTGTGCTTCCTCCTCAGCCCAAATATGCGGATGTCCTTCATTCTCTACTCAAAAGGTGCAGAAATTCTCATGCCGCTCACTGGAGACAGGTAGGTGCTGCTGTGAAGCCCAAGGCAGGCCTGATGAGCCTGGCCAAGGATCAGAGAGGTTCACTGAGAGCAAGGTGGGCTGGTCCTGACAACCTTAAATACCCACATTGGCCTCCAGCCCTGGCTTGCCAGTGTCCCTCTGACGACTGCTTCATTGATACCTGCAGATTCTGTGCTTTCAGAAGTTTGTCTACCCTGCCCTTTATCAGCCCTGAATTCTTCCCTGGAGGCTGGCTGTGTCAACCTTCCCCATCCCTATTCTAAAAGCTCATGGGGCAGATAGGTAGGTCCCACCAGAACTCTGGCCTGGGACCTTCCATGGCAGGTAAATGTCTGCCCAGGCCAGTGAGGCAGGGAGACAGCCTGGGAACCGGGGAAGTGCTTTGTAGAGGGTCTAGGCCAGGAGGGGCCCTGAGTCCAAGGCAGGGATGGGTGCTGCAGAAAGGCATGAGGAACAAGCATCCAGGGTGTGGAGGGTGGGGCACCTGTGCCAAGGGGCCCAGAGGTAGGAAGTTGTGGAGCTTCTGACTGACTGGGAGGTGAGGGAGAGCTTGGGATGCAATGTCCAGTGCTCTGCACAGAGTAGGACAGGCACAGAAGAGAGGTGGAGACACTGAAGACATGTGAATGTTTGGAGTTGTGGGGGAATTTTTGTTCAGGGACACCCTTCTCCCCCCCAAAAAAAAGCCAGAAGCAGGGAATGAAGAGGGACAAGCCAGCCCCAGGCAAGGGGAAGGAGTTTCAGGGCATATGGACAGGTTGACACCCAAGTATATCATCAAGGAAGACAGGGAGGGGCTGACTCTGTGGACACAGGGAAGGCCTGGGTTGGTGTGTCCTGCGGTGTGTGTTTGGGAGAGACCTGAGTGGGTGTGAGGTGGTAGAGAGGAAGGATATGGGAAGGATGCTGGCAGGGGTCCCTGAGGTGCAGTGTTGTTGGGCTGGCAGCAGGAGGTGCTGGGCTGGGCTGGGCAGCCCCTGGTTTGGCCTTCCCTGGGCATGGCTGGATGTGGCCTCCTCACCCCCCAGGAAGAGCCAGGCAGGACCAGGTTTAGGGACCTCAGTTTTCACCCAGGGGAGCTTCTCTCTGCCTGCAGTGGAAAGCCACCCTTGGGGTCTATTTTCTAGGTCATTTTGCTGGCTCAGCCTATCACATGTACTCAAACCCAAGCCTCAGTATGCCCCTTCCTGTACCTTTACTGACAATAGAGCCCATCCCGCCTGCCCTAATCCTGTCTGTCTGCTTTTAACAGCATCTGACAGGCCAAATCTCCCAACAGAGTACTGTTGGGCACCCTCATGGCCAGCCTTGGGTCTTTGTTTCAGAAACATATGAGGTCCTGGAGCCCCAGCTCTCTAATTAAGCAGACTAGCTACTACCTTTGGCAGGGGAAAGGGAGGAAGAAGGTCCCAGGCCAGGGGATCTGTGGCAGTGGGGGATGGAAACTGGCAGAGGTTAGCCACATGACCTTTTCTCAACCCAGCCTTCCCTATGGAAAGACAGAGTGTTCAGGAGGACAGTGTTCTAAGATTTAGAGATAGAGGCAGGAATGATGAGCCCCCATGGTGTCTCTCACACACAAGCACATCCCTGTGATAGGCCTCCTTGTGTAGGCCCATGGAGAGCTCCCCGAGGCCTAAATACTCTCAGAAAGGCATGAGCTCAGAAAAAGGCAGACATTACATGGGACCCTCTAAGCAGGCCCCCGCCCTCGCCTGACCTGCCTCAGGGCTCATGGAATCATGGACAAAGAAGGCTGTAAACCTCCTGTCCAAGTCCCAGAGCCGAATGGGGGTCAAGGTGCTGCTTGCCTCGTGTCCTCTCCTGTCCAAGCAGTTCCACAGTAGACAGAGCTGTGGGGTAGTATATGAGCTGGTTTGTAATAGTCAATCTTCCTAAGTTAACCTTCATTTTTGCCTTTTTTTTTCAGAAAAAAAATTCATGAGGGTCTTCGACAACTTCTGAGAGTGGTACCTAGAGGACAGAAACATATGCAAGAAGGATTTAAATTGGTATGTAGGGCTGGAGTCTGGAGTCGAGGTTGCTGGCTCACGGCTCTTAGAATATTACTCAGGAATCTCGCTCCCTGACCCCCACCAAATGTTTCTTCATTTCCTTGCAGGTTAATGAGCAAATAGCAAAAGTCAGCTCCACAGGTAAGTTGCCCTGCCGTCTTCATGGTAGGTGGGGCACACAGCTCGTGCCCCTGGGAGAGGTGTGTGCAGATTCCTAGCTCCTAGTGCCTCTTCCTAGCCCTTGCTCTTGGAGTCAGTACCTCACCTTTCAGAGCATAGGATTTTTGCATCAGGTAGGCTCTGCTGCCCCATGTTTCAATGCAAGGATCTTGGTCACTCTATGATTTTTGACCTAGGGTTGTTCCCAGTGAGCAAAAAGAAAAAGAAAAAAATTGTAGGAACCTTGAGTAGACTGAGGCCTCTTTTCTGTGGAATCCTCATCTTGTTTTCCCCTACCTGGCCTTACCTTCCTCTTCCTGCTTCCATCCATTTCTTCCTTATCTTGAGTTGCCTCCGGGGCATACGGCTCGGACAGTGCCACTATCTCTTTTGTTTAGCATGCATGAGGCCCTGGGTTTGATCCCCTGCTCCCCTCACAAGATATATATATTGCACAGCCTGAATAGAAGTCTCTCTGAACTATGAGCTTGTAACTTCCATCAGGAATAGGTGGGACTTGTTGGGGAACAACAGTGAGGGTTGTGGGGTCCCCTTCTAAATCCCTATAACTACAAGACTTGAACTTCTAGACACACAGATGCCAAGAGTTTCTACAAGCTGTACCTGAATCGGGTGCCTAGCCTCCTCCATGTTCACTGGGGCTCTGCAGGAGGGTCTGATTGCTCCTTCCTTCATACAGCTAATTGGCTGGCCCTTGTAGACAAATGACTGGGCTTCCTCAGGGGAAAGGGTACACAGACAGGGAGTTAATGAGAATTCAAAGCATCTGTCTCAGACCTGCCTGCAGTAGTCACTGCAGGGCTCTGGAGACCTGCGGCAGTGTCACAGCTTCTTTAGCTACACATGGACACTTGCTAACTAGGCCCCCCACTTCTTGATTATTCTATAGGCAACAATTTTGCCAGCATAATTATTGCTCTGATGGATGGACTACTAGAAGAAATGACATTTAAGGAGACCAAGGAAGAGGTGAGTCCAGTCCATGTTTCCCTGCACTGTGCCCCACATAGACTGATAATTTACTCGACACCTTTTTTTTAGGCTGACAAGTGTCGGAGTCGAGGGGCAGTCATCTACACTGTGGGTGTGCTGGGATACAATAAACACCAGGTACTTCAGAGCAGGTGCCCAGGTGTCCCTCTGCAGCCTAGTTGGGGAAGGTCTCATGGGTGGCTTCCCAGGGCCTGGAAGAAGCTGGTCTTCTCACCTGCCTCAGGGAACTTGCACAACAGGTGGCTGCAGTGAAAGGACAACCAAAGGGTTTGAGTCACCAGCACCACCTGTGCTGGGTGGGTGGGGGGAACTTCCTGCTCCCTAAGCCTGGGCTGTGGGCAGAAGCCAACGTCTGTCCCTGAGCTCCTGACACTCACTGGCTCCACTGCAAGAGGGCATGACACTCTGCCCTGGGTCTGGGGACCTGCTGCGTTCTCAGTACCCTGGCTGAGGGGCTCAAGTCACCTCTTTTCCTTTATAGATGACAGCCATTGCAGACTCCCCAGATTACATATTTGGGGTGGACACAGGATTTAAGGATCTGAAAAACATTGTTGAATCGGTGAGTCTGGCTGAATGTGAGCACAGGTGATCTGCATCTCTCTGGATCCTGAGGATCACACTCCTAGCCCCCTTCCTCCCTTCTCTCTTCCAGCTTGCTTCTAAGACCTGCATTGAAATCACATCTGTAGAGGCCTCCACTCTGTGTGCAGGAGGTAAGAGCTGAGGGGCCCCTGGGGTGGACAGATGGTTTAATTGATGAGTGTTCACATTGCATGAGTATGCATGAATGTATATGTGGTGTTTTGTGTGGGAGGTGAGACTGCATGGAGTGTGTTGTGTATATGGTAATAGTGGTGTGGGATGTGTGTGGTGTGTGTGTGATGGGTGTTTCAGTGTTGTGGTGTGTTGTCTACTGTGTAGGAGGATATAAGTTTATATGCACTGTGTGGTGTTTATGTGATGTGTGGTGCATCTCAGAATTCGTATGTGGTGTGTGGCATGTGTGATTTGTAGAATAGCTTTGTGGTGTTTACAGTCTCTAAGAGTAGTGTATGGTGTGTTTATTATTTGCACGAGCCATGTATTGGTGTGTGTGTTTCTCTGTGTGTGATTTATGTGTGATGTTTTGTAGTGTGTATGGTGTTTGTGTGGAGTTCTTTATTGAGGTGTATGTGTTGTGGGCCCAAGTGTGGGTGTGAACTGTATGAATTATGTGTGTTTGGTATAGCTTTGTGGGATATTCAATATGTATGTGGTGTGTGTCATGCATGTTTGTAATTTATGGGTGGCATGAGTGGTAGTACAACAGGGAGTTTGGTGTTTGTGTATATTTATGGTTTCTGCCTATATAGGTCATGGGGAATGTACATGAATGCATAGTGTTGTGTGGTATGTGTGCCAGAGAATATGTTGTATATGAGCACAGTGGTATTGTGTGGGGTGTGTACTTATGTTGTTGGTATGTGGAATCTGTGTGCAGGGTATTTGTGGTATATGCAGTGTTCAGGGACTGGTTTGTGGTGTGTCAGGAGTATGGTATGTTGCATATTATGTTTTTTTGTATGTGTGTGGTGTGTGATTTAATACCTGTAGGTGGAGTGTTTTTCTATGGTATGTGAAGGGGTAAGTGTGCATGGGGTATACAGTATATGCATGTGTATATGTGTGCCGAGGTGTGTTTTGTGTGCGTATGTGTGGTGGAGGTTTGTGGGTAGGTGGATGTGGGGGTGTGCATGGGTGCATGTGTATATATATGGTGTATATGAAATGTACATTGTAGGGGTATGTGTGTTAGAAAGCACAGTGTGGTTATGTTTCCTAATATTATACCTAACACAAAATGTTTAATTGCAAAAGTAGAAAAACATATTTTTAAAAACTCTCAAGGAAACACTAGAAAATCAATGGAACAACATTTAAACAGGCCAATAGGTCAAGAGAAATAAGGGCTCATTCCAGGAGGACCAGGCTGATGGGGGATTTGAAAAATCTGTAGAGTTTGTACATCCACAAAAAGTGCGGAAACAGTGATATCAATGGATAAAAAAAAATAACTGAACAAAAGTCAGCTTCCAGTGTCCTGATGGGAACAAAGGAAACCTCCCTGCCTGACAAAGGTATCCACCCTGACAGTCACCCAGTGGGGAAAGGGCCACTTCTGGTCCTTGTCCCCAAGGACTAGACCTGACCAGGATGCCTCTGACCACCCTGCATTCCTGACTCAGTGTGCTGAGGACACAATTGTATGGTCTTGGGGGATGGTCACCTCTCCTGGTCACAAACCCTGTATGTAGCCTTGGTACCACATGGTTGGTGTCCTCACACTGTGGTTGATGGAGACAGAACCCACAACCTCCTTTTACCCCTGGTGACAGCTCAGCTGCTACAGTGAACTCTGGCCCAGGTAGCTGGGTCCTGGCCTCTCTGCCCTCGACAAGGAGTTTCCATGGCCACAGGCTGTTGGCGGCACAACCGTGTGTTCATCCATGCTCTGCTACCTGTGGCACCAGGCTTGTAGCAAAGTGTGGCCTAATATGGATAGAAATAGCACTGTCAGGACTGTTGGGAGACACAGAGGCAGTGACTGGATTAGCACTTGGAAGCTGATGGGTCCTAAGGACAGTGGCAGGTCCTGATATTTGCACTTTGGTTCTTGGTTCAACATTCCCCCAGCCCTTGCTTGTGTTGGGCAAGTACTAAGGGGTGGGGGTGGACTCAAGGACCCCCATTCTCCCATATGGCCTCTTCTGCTTCTGGTTTAAAGCAGCCCAGGTGGCTGGTGCCTGTGTGTCATTATGTGCCCTGGACACACAGGCCTTGGCATCTGAACAGTTAGGACAAACCCCATGTGGGGATGTGAGATGTCACTCCTTCTCCTAGCAGCTGTACCAGTGTGATAGATGTGTCCAAACACAAGCTCAGCCAGTGACCTGTTCACTTACTGGCCATCATGTGCAAGTTGCCACATACAGAGGGACAGTCACTCACATGGGAATCCCAAGGCAGAATCCTTAGAGCCAAATGACACAGAACAGATCAGTTCTCAGTTTCTCCTGTGAGAATCAATGCATCTGTCAGAGAGTCTGATGAAGGAGGTCAGGTGAAGAATAAAGTCCTTGGTCAACTGACTTGGGGCATCTCAAGTGCCATTTTAGACTGGAATGAGTCAGACATGGGTCAGGAGGTGGCCGTGCAGGTGAATAGGTCTGGAATCCTGACTCCTTTGCAGCTGGCCATGCTGCTTTCCTCTCTGTTCCCTGTATTGGCCTCAGGAGAAGGAGGCTACACCCTGGTAGAAGGAAGTGCTCTATGCTATACAGGGCGGGTGGTTGTGCTCCTAGGTATTTCAGGAAGAGACAGGGATGAGGGATGATGTTCTGGCCTCAGGACCCACAGTTGGGAATGGTCACATCCTGTGAGGAGACCTCCTGGGGAGGGTAGGGGCCTCTCCTGTGCCACACCTGTGTTCCTGCCCTGTTTCTAGGGTCTCCACTACCACAGGCACAGAAACACAGGAAGGAGGAGGAGAGTCCCTGAACATTCAGGAGCCCCACAGGCATAAGGCAGGGCTTCTTCAGCCTGTGCATCAGAGCTCCTCTCTGCCTTCCATACGGGAGGGTTGGCTCAGTACACAGCCTGGGGTCCTGCAGCTTAGGAAGCACTGGAGATTTCAGGGTACGAAGACTTCCTCTGAGTTGGACCTTATGCATGCACTGGCTTGGGCTATAGTCATGAACTTTTTGGATCAACTGATGGGAGGAGGACCACCAAGTGTCCAAAGCACAGCTCAGCCACTTCTTCCACACCAGATGAGGATGTGTCCAGAGGGACCCATGGATGCTGGTTCAGACGCAGCTGCTGTCTCATTAGAGCCCCTTGGGAGTCATACCTTGTGTGGGGTGGACCCCCATGAACAGTGATCGGAGGGAATGCAGCCCTCAGCTCTTCCTCACTTAGATATTTTAATGTTTTGTTTGTTTGTTTGTTTTTCCAGAAATCTATGAAGTAATTATTACTGGACAAGGTTTTCATAATGCAAAAAGTAGGGACCAGGTTATTTGTAGATTCCTGTTCTCAGACAACTTTCACGTGGGTAAGTAATGCCTCATACCACCAGGTTACACATTTATTTTACAACAGAGCCCCATCCCTCAATCAGCCAGTTCCCAGTCCCTGCTGACCATTCTCAGTGGGTATTGTGTGGTTAGAGGCAGTGTGGACAAGTGGAAGGAGATACCTGCTGGGATGCACGGCCACCTCTCCTTTTATCTAAATGGGAAGTAATAAATCCCCAGCAGCCAAGAGTGTCTTGGAGTAGGGATTCACACCCACCTCCACAAGGATGAGTTTGTGCTGGGCTGTCCCCACAGCAGCATTTGCCCCACAGTGTCCTCAGCTTCCTTGCCCTGATGGCCGATGACCTGAGCTCAGGAGACTTATGGTAGGAAATGTAGCAGCATCTAGACTCTGGACCTAGTCAGGTGCAGTGAGCCTCCCTGGGCCTTCATTCATTCCTTCAATCAGAGAATAAATCAAAGACACTGAAACCTCAAGACGGCAGGTACAGAGCTGGCTGCCCATCTTGGCTCTCACGCTTGACTACAGCCAAGGAGGTGTAAAGAGGATTTAGACTCAGGGCAGAGAAGATTCCATGGCTACAAGTTATGAAGCAATTCCCAGGCTCCCAAGGAAGGAAGGAAGGAAGGAAGGAAACCCTATTTCCTCTTCAGGTTTTCCCATCTCAGATGACACCACCATCCACCCTGTTCCTCTGGTCAAAAAAATCCCAGTGTCATCTTTGATTTCTCATAGCTCTATCCTCACACCTAAGAAATCCTGCAATGGCTGAATATCAAGAATCTGTACATTCTCCTAAAAGATCCATCAGATGTGAAATAAAGCCCAATTATTTTTCCAGGTCCATAAAAACCACCCCACTCTTGGCTCACTCCTTCTCAACCCAACAAGCTCAGTAGTTCATGCCTCAGGGCCTTGGCAAATGTCACTCCCACAGCCCAGAACACTCTTTCCTCCCTCTGTTCACTGGATGTTCTTTGTCTGGTTGGTATGAGCTCCTCAGAGAGCACTTGCCTATGTAAGTACCAAGAATTGTATATGAATTTAAAGCACCTACCACCTACTCTCATCATTCCCAACACACACTATCTGAATTCCCTGACACCATCAAGAGTGTTTTTCATCATGTTCCAGATATTGCATCAATTCATGTGTGAATATTTTAGTTTTTTAAAGGGCAAATTATACCTCTACAAAAGGGAATAGGTCAGGCATAATTAAGCAGCCACCCTCCCCCTGCATGCCCTGTCCTTTCCTCTGCTTATCAATGGCACAACACTTTGCACTATTTCCCATTAATGTTCCCTTACTCTCATTTTGTTCAATGTCCCCTGAAGTTCCTAACAGGAGAGTCCTTGAGAGTAGGGGCTCTTGCTGCCTGTTCCTGTTGGAGAAATGAGTTCTGCTCAGTGCTGGGCAAAGAATGTGCTCAGCAGATGTCTTTGAAAAGAAGGCAGGCAGAGGGGAGAGGCTGGGACATGGTCAAAGTATCAGCTCTGCTTACTCAGGGCAGGCAGAGCATGCCGGGGTAGATGAACAGGTCTGTTGACATTCTCATGTCATTGTGTTTTAGATAACAACCCCACCAGTATGAGCAAAACTTCCATAATTTGTCCTGGACCAATGTTAACACAACCTAATCAGTAAGTGCCCTGCTTGGAGGTCTTCGGGTGGGAGATCAGGTGCTCAGTGTTTACCACCACTATGTGTAGAGAATTTGGAATGCCCCCCTCTACCTGGAAGCATGCCTATCTCTGAGTGGGAGAAGGGCATCTTCCCCACCTTTCCTTCTTGGTGACCTGCAAGGGGTTTAGGAATACACAGTGGCCCAGGATCTGCTGAGGGCAGGATGCATGAGACAATGTGCCCTAAGACTTGTACCTTTGTTCCAATTTGACTTGCAGAAATAAGATGACATATTCTGTAATAAAATCAAGGATGGTGACACCATGCAGAACTTTCTGGTCACTTAGCCTATGGCCATGATGACATCAGATGCCATGAGGAAGAATCATGGTCTGACCCACAGTCCCCTTGAAATCATTGCTGAGGTCTTTCTCCTCATGCTTTGGTCAATGAGCTCTCAATATCTACCTCTGTACTCCTGGAGATCTTAAATGCTGGGATTTCAGAGTCATTTTCATGAGGATTTCTATGGGCTATGGTTTCTCAAGGGCCTGAACTGAGTCTCTCTGGGCTGGTTCTCAACATCTGTCCTTTCTGTGCATTAGGGAGGTATTTGTTGAAGTCAGTTTGAACAATGGTCTCAGCTTCATTGGGAACCAACACAACATAACCAGCTCTAACTGTATTGTAAGTACCTGGGTGGGGATGCAGCCCCCTCGTGCTGCCCATGCCCCTGTTCTAGATGCCAATGCACCCTGGGCAGAGGGTACCAGATAGGCCCAGAAAGCAGCTTGGGCAGACAGGTTCCTCCAAATTCCAGGTGGGCCAGTATGGGAGCCTGGAAGGTTGCCTGTTACATGCTAGAGTCTATGACATCTAGGGTGCCCACCCATTCCATGTGGGAATGCCTAGGCACAGGGATCTGGGTGGTTCTGCCAGCTGAGGTAGGATGTGTGTGTGCACTGAATTGGTGCCTCAGTCATGGATGTGATACCAAATTCATTCTGGACCCGGCCTTGAGGCCTGCTCAGTAGCCCTTCAGGCATGCCTGGGTCCTCAGTCTCCTCTCTGTCCCAGCTGTCTCCCTCTGTGAGCTCTCTCTCACCTGCAGTGCACACCTCCTCCTATCCCACCCCACTGTGGTTGGAAAACAGCTACCAGTTGTGTGTGGCCTTCTCAGCTCAGCAAGAGCAATCTGAAAATGAGGGTGTTACCCACCCAGTGTGTCTTTTCTGAGCTTCACATCATGCCAGCAATTTAGCCAAATGTAGGATAATAGGAGGCCTGGAAAGAGGAGACATGTGCCCACTTGTTGTTCACCTGTAGGTACAGTCTGAGTTTGTTAGGACCCTACAGGTTTGACAGCCCTCCTCAAGGTCTGTCTTGGCTTGTTCCTGCACATCCATGCACAGATCATCAGGCTGAACTCACACATGTGCTCATCAGGAGACCACCTGTTCATAGCCCTTCCTGAAACAGGCACAGATAGGAAAGAGCACAGGCACAGCCCAAGTGACCCCAGCCAAGCCAGTGCCCATCACTGTCACTCTGCATGTTGCTTCTCCTTTCAGCCACCTGTTTTCTACCACAGGCTCCTCCCCTGTCACCCCTCTGTAGCCTTCTCTCTAAGCAATCACTTGACTCTGGACAGTGGAGCAGGCTGTGTGCCCACAGGGTAGCCTGGGATCCCTGAACCAGAGTGATCAGCCCCCATTCCTTAAGCCCCATGTGGACCTTAGTCTGAGTGAGGACATTCTAAACTCTCTGAATTCACAATTACCCCTGGAGGAGGGCTGCTTCTTCCCTTGGTTAAAGATGTGCTAGCTGAACCTCTGAGAAAGGAATTGGTTAAAGAGTCCGTAAGTGTGGAGAGGCCATGGGTTGACAGATAGCTGTTGCCTGTTCCTGCTCTTGGGCCTATATCTTTCTGGGAACCCCTTTATGGGCATCTGTATTATTGTGGTCTTTACAAAGTACTTTTTTAAAATTTATATATGACAGCAGAATATATAACAATTCTTACTATACATATAGAGCATAATTTTCCTATCTTTGGTTGTATACAAAGTTATATTCACACCAATTCATGTCTTCATACCTGTACTTTGGATGATAATGATCATCACATTCCACCATCATTATTTACCCCATGTCCCCTCCCTTCCCCCTCCCACTCCTCTGCCCTATCTAGAGTTCGTCTATTCCTCCCATGCTCCCCTCTTCCTATCCCACTATGAATCAGCCTCCTTATATCAAAGAAAACATTCAGCATTTGGTTTTTTGGGATTGGCTAACTTCACTAAGCATTTTCTTCTCTAATTCCAACCATTTTCCTGCAAATGCCATGATTTTATTCTCTTTATAGCTGAGTAATATTCCATTGTGTATACATGCCACATTTTTTTATCCATTCATCCACTGAAGGGCATCTAGGTTGGCTCCACAGTTTAGCTATGGTGAATTTTGCTACAATAATAAACATTGATGGGGCTGTTTCCCTGTAGTATGCTGTTTTTAAGTCCTTTGGGTATAGACTGAGGAGAGGGATAGCTTGGTCAAACGGTGGTTTCATTCCCATATTTCCAAGCAATCTCCATACTGCTTTCCATTTTGGCTGAACCAATTTGTAGTCCCACCAGCAATGTATGATTTTTCCCGTCATCCTCGCCAACACTTATTGTTGTTTGTCTTCATAATAGCTTCCATTCTGACTGGAGTTAGATGATATCTTAGAGTAGTTTTGATTTGCATTTCTCTAATTGCTAGAGATGATGAACATTGTTTCATATATTTGTTGATTGATTGTATATCCTCTTCTGAGAAGTGTCTGTTCAGGTCCTTGGCCTGTTTGTTGATTGGGTTATTTGGTTTTTGTTTGTTTGTTTGTTTTTGGTGTTTAGCTTTTTGAGTTCTTTATATACCCTAGAAATTAGTGCTATATCTGATGTGTGAGGGGTAAAAATTTGCTCCCAGGATGTAGGCTCTCTATTCACCTCACAGATTGTTTCTTTTGCCGAGAAGAAACTTTTTAGTTTGAATCCATCCCATTTATTGATTCTTGGTTTTAATTCTTGTGCAATAGGAGTCTTATTAGGAAGTTGGAGCCTAATCCCACATGATGAAGATTAGGGCCTACATTTTCCTCTATTAGACACAGAGTCTCTGGTTTAATTCCTAGGTCCTTGATCCACTTTGAGTTTTTTGCATGGTGAGAGATAGGGGTTTAATTTCATTTTGTTGCATATGGATTTCCAGTTTTCCCAGCATCTTTTGTTAAAGAGGCTTTATTTTCTCCAATGCATGTTTTTGTTGCCTTTGTCTAATATAAGATAACTGTAACTTTGTGGTTAGTCTCTGTGTTGTGTACCATTGGTCTACCAGTCTGTTTTGGTGCCAATACCATGCTGTTTTTGTTACTATTTGCTCTGTAGTATATTTTGAGGTCTGGTATAGTGATGCCACCAGCTTCACTCGTCCTGATTTAGCTATTCTGAGTCTTTTTTTTTTCCAGATGAATTTCATGATTGCTTTTTCTATTTCTATGAGGAATGTCATTGGAATTTTGATCAGAATTGTATTAAATCTATATAGTGCTTTTGGTAGTATGGTCATTTTGATAATATTAATTCTGCCTATCTAAGAGCAAGGTAGATCTTTCCATCTTCTAAGGTCTTCTTTGATTTCTTTCTTTAGGGTTCTGTAGTTTTCATTGTATAGATCTTTCACCTTTTTCATTAAGTTGATTCCCAAGTATTTTTTTAGGCTATTGAGAATATGGTAGTTTTCCTTTCTGAGGATTTGTCACTGATATACAGAAATGCTTTTGATTTATGGGTATTGATTTTATATCCTGCTACTTTGCTGAATTAATTTACTAGTTCTAGGAGTTTTCTGGCGGAATTTTTAGGATCTACTATACCTAGAATCATATCATCAGCAAATAATGCAAATTTAAGTTCTTCTTTTCCTATGTGTATCCCTTTAATTTCTTTCTTCTAATTGCTCTGGCCAGCATTTCGAGAACTATGTTGAATAGAAGTGGTGAAAGAGGGCACCCCTGTCTTGTTCCAGTTTTTGGAGGGAATGCCTTTAATTTTTCTCCATTTAGAATGATGTTGGCCTGAGGCTTAGCATAGATAGCCTTTACGATGTTGAGATATGTTCCTATTATTTGTAGTTTTTCTAGTGTTTTGAACATAAACAAGCGCTGTATTTTGTCAAATGCTTTTTCTGTGTCTATTGAGATGATCACATGATTTCTATCTTTAAGACTATTGATGTGATGAATTACATTTATTGATTTCCATATGTTGATATGTTACATCACTGGGGTGACTCCCACTTGATCATGGTGCAAGATTTTTTTTATACATTTTTTAATTCAATTTGCCAGTTTTATACTGAGAATTTTTGCATCTATATTCATTAGAAATATTGGTCTGACGTTTTCTTTCTTTGATGTGTTTTTGCCTAGTTTTCGATTCAGAGTGATATTGGCCTCATAGAATGAGTTTGAAAGTGCTGCCTCTTTTTCTATTTCCTGAAATAAATTGAAGAATATTGGTATTAGTTCTTCTTTAAAGGTCTTGTAGAACTCAGCTGTGTATCCAGCCAGTCCTAGGCTTTTCTTGATAGGTAGACTTTTGATGGTGTCTGCTATTTTGTCACTTGAAATTGATCTGTTTAAATTGTTTTATATCATCCTGATTAAATTTGGGCAAGTTATATGACTATAGAAATTTGTTGATGCCTTCGATATTTTCTATTTTATTGATGTTTTCTATTTTATTGGAGTACAAGTTTTCAAAATAATTTCTAATTATCTTCTGTATTTCTGTAGTGTCTGTTGTGATATTTCCTTTTTCATCACATATGTTAGTGATTTCAGTTTTCTCTCTCCTTCTCTTCATCAGCATGGCTAAGGGTCTGTCAATTGTATTTATATTTTTAATGAACAACTTTTTGTTCTGTCAATTTTTTCAATTGTTTCTTTTATATCAATTTGATTGATTTCAGCTCTGATTTTAATTATATTCTGTCTTCTGCTGCTTTTGGTGTTGATTTGTTCTTTTTTTTCTAGGATTTTGAGACATAATATTCATCATTTATTTATTGGCTTTTTCTTCTTTTAAGGAATGAACTCCATGCAAGGAACTTTTCTCTTAGAACTGCCTTCATAGTGTCCCAGAGATTTCAATATGTTGTGTTCTCATTTACCTTTAAAAACATTTAATCTCCTCCTTGATGTCTTCTGTAACCCATTGTTCATTCAGTACAATAGTCTCCAGGTGTTGGAGTGGATTTTATTTATAATTTTATCATTGATTTCTAATTTCATTCCATTATGATCTGATAGAATGTAGGGTAGTATCTATACTTTTTTATATTTGATAAGAGTTGCTTAGTGGCATAGTATATGGTCTATTTTAGAAAAGGATCCATGTGTTGCTGAGAAGAAAGTGTATTCTCTCATTGAAGGATGAAATATTCTATATATGTCAGTTAAGTCTGAGTTATTGATTCTATTATTGAGTTCTATAGTTTCTTTGTTCAGCTTTTGTTTGGAAGATCTATCTAGTGATGAAAAAGGTGTGTTAAGTCACACCAAATTATTGTGTTGAGGTCTATTTGACTCTTGAACTTAAGAAGAGTTTTTTGATGAACGTAGATGCTCCATTTTGGGGGTCATATACATTTATAATTGTTAAGTCTCGTTGAGCAGTATGTAGTATCCTCCTTTATCCTTTTTGATTGACTTTAGTTTGAATTCTACTTTATTTGATATGAAGAAGGAAACCTGTGCTTGCTTCTGCAGTCTATGTGAGTGGTATGATTTTTCCCAACCCTTCACCTTCAGTCTGTGGATGTTTTTTTCTTTTTCTATGAGATGAGTCTTTTGGAGACAGTGTATTGTTGGGTCTTTTATTTTTTTTCATCCAATCTGCTAATCTATGTCTTTTGATTGGTAAGTTTAGGCCATTAACATTCAGGGTTATTATTGAGACATGATTTGTATTCCAAGTCATTTTTGTTTATTTTTGCTATTTAATGTGACTTGGTTTCTCCTCTGAATAGATTTGCCTTTAGTGTAATATCTCCCTCTGCTGATTTTCATCATTGTTTTTCATTTCCTCTTCATGAAATATTTTGCTGAGGATGTTCTGTAGTGCAGGCTTTCTAGTTGTAAATTATTTTAACTTTTGTTTATCATGGAAGATTTTTATTTCATCATCAAATCTAAAGCTTAGTTCTGGTGGATATAAGATTCTTGGTTGGCATCCATTTTCTTTCAGAGCTTGGTATATGTTGTTCCATGATCTCCTGGCATTAAGGGTCTGGGTTGAAAATCTGCTGAAATACGAATTTGTCTCCCCCTATATGTGATCAGATTCCTCTCTCTTGCGGCTATTAAGATCCTATCTTTATTCTGTATGCTAGGCATTTTTATTATAATGTGCCTTGGTGTAGATCTGTTGTAATTTTGTACATTTGGTGTCCTGAAGGCTCTTATATTTGGTTTTCCAATTCATTCTTCATGCTTGGGAATTTTTTTTTTGATATTATGTCATTAAAGAGATTGTGCATTCCTTTGGTTTGAAACTCTGTGCCTTCCTCTATCCCAATAACTCTTAGATTTGGTCTTTTGATTCTGTTTCATAATTCTTGGATGTTCTCTTCATAGTTTCTAGCTATCTTCACTGTATGGTCATCTTTATTTTCCAGGTTGTTTACTTTGTTTTTATTATCTGATGTTTTTTCTTCCAGGTGATCTAGTCTTTTGGTAATGCTTCCTACTGAGATGTTTATTTGATTTATTGTATCCATCATTTCAAGTATTTCTGACTGTTTTTTTTCCAGAGTCTCTATCTCAAGAGAGATGGAAGTAATCTTTTGCTGCCTGTATTTGCTTTCTTACCTCTTTGTTGAGTGATCAATATTTGCCTGTATTTGCTCATTCAGGTCATTCTTTAATTCACAGATCATTTGCTCTCATCTCTACTGAGAACCTAGGTCCCCTGAGGACTGGTGTGGGCTGTACAAAGTACTTTATTGTCAGCGGCCGTGAGCAGTGAGGGCCAGATTCATCAGACATGAGGCTTTAGGGACTTGTTTTTCTGGGCTCGGGGCATTCTTTCATCAGGACCAGAGGCAGCAGGGTCAGCATCTCTCTGTGTACCCACTTATACCTTATCCTATATGCTCCCTGAAGGTCAGACAACCTGAGAACTAAAAGTGGGACAGATAGGAAGCAGGGGGTGGGCAGTCAGGAAGAAGCCATCAAGTCTTTCCCAGGGCCTGTGCAATAGTGCTGTCAGGTCCATTCTTCTCTTACAGGGTACACTGGGCAACTTTGGAGCTCCTGTCAGCACCACTGTCAGCACCACTGTCAGCACCACTGTCAGCAGCACTGTCAGCAGCACCGTCAGCAGCAATGTCAGCAGCACTAACACTGCTGTCACAGGCATGAATGCTGCTGTAAGAAGTGATGTTATAACCACTATCAGCAGCTCTGCCAGATTCTTTGTCAGACATTCTGTCACTGGCACTTACAGAATGATTTCAAAAGTGCCCTTCGACAAGCGCTTGCTTGCTTTGCTGCCACTTTTGCTACTGATCCCACTGTTGGTGTACTGTTGCTGGAGATACTTCTTCAAAGTGAGTATGCCGACCCACACAGCCCTGGGCTCAGGCAGAGGTCCTACATCCAAGGCAGTTGCCCATGAGCTCTGAAGCTATCACAAGATCCAGTGAAGGCACAAACTGACCTCACATTCCCAGACTCTAGACACAGCTGGTTCATATAGGGTCTCCTTCTAAGGCTATTAGAGTTGGCCTGGGAACCCTAGATACTGGTTTCAGGCCTGCCCTGAGACCTTGAGAGAGGACACCCAGAACCTCTGACACCAGGAGCAACTCTCAGCAACTGATCAGGTCTTGGATGAACAAGGACCTGGGGCTGGCCTTTGTGTCAGAGGAAGAGGAGGAGAGGGACCCTGTGAAATGCACATGGCCCCAAATGCAGAGTGATGCTGGCCAGGGAGTTGTAGCAACCTCTGGGCCAGAGGAGCTGTTAAACCAACATGGATCTCTGCACCTTTGTAGTGCCTTCTGCCACTTCTTCATCTCCCATGGCTGAGTGCCAGTGATTAGAGGCCCATGATGGGATCCAGAGGTAGAGAAAGGAAGCAGGTACCCTCCTGGCCATGGGGAGCTCCCAGACCTGAGTTCATTCAGGGCATGAGAGGGAGATGTCACTCTAAATAGGATGCAGTCAGTGTCCTGAGTACAGCAAAGCAATAGCAAAGGACTGAGACTGGCACCTGGGGGCATTAGGGAAGGCAGAGGCTCTGGAGATCAGGGTTGGAAGGAACATCACAGAAAACTAGAGAATGGAAGCAGAAAGAGCTGATGTGGGAAGGACAACAGCCAGCACAGGGCAGGAGGGTCTTCATTGTGCACAGTGGGAGCAGTGAGCAGAGAAAGCCTACTGACTATCCCAAGGTGGGGAGGCAAGTGAGGGCACCAGAGACAGAGAGGATCTCCAGAGGAAGAGAGGCCAGAGTGTGTTCTGGCTCCAGGTAGGTTCTGGTTAGATGTGCAGCACTCCAGCAGCTGAGCCTCTCTAGGGGTAGGCTTCTTGGCCTGGCTCATCTTCCATAACCCTTCTAGGAAGCATGAGACACCCATTGGGTCAGGTGGAGCCTGCTAGGCAGAGCACCATAGGCACAGGGAACCCCTGCCCCCCACCACACACACACACATACACACACACACACACACACACACAACCAAAGCCAAGCCATGTTCCATTTCTTTGCTCCATCCCAGTGTCCCCTCTGACTGCAGAGCCCAGGCAGAATCCATGACACCCCCTCCAGTTCCTGATTTTTGTCTGTTTAACATTCCAGGATATCATGAAGCCACTACCAGAAAAGGTATGTGCAGGTTTGAATCATGACTTTGTTACTTACCTGAGAACAACACTGACCTTCAAAAGAGGCATCATGAAGCCTGTGCCCTGGAGCTCAACCTACCTGGGGAAAGACAATGGGAACAGAGGGTCAAAGAGGGATCTGGGGAGGACATTGACTAGGTTGATATCACCCATACAACACCCCTCCAGGCACCCAGAAATTCTTAACCATGAATCTGTGCTACAAAAATAGTGCCTTGAAGGCATATTCAGAAAATGTGATGATTTCTACTGAAATAAGTGGGCTTTTTGTGGGACTCAAAGGACTTACTGTAGAATGCTGAGTAATCAGGGAGCCTTTTGCAATAGGAACCTCAAGTTCCAGGTGCTCATTCCCATCTCCAGACTCTGGAGATTGGTTTGGCTCCTTTGAATGAGTCTTCATCCCTGTCTCCTGGCAGGGGTGAGGGTGGGTCTGGGTCAGGGGCACCTGGGTCTGGAATGTGGTAGGAAGCTGGCCTTCCTGTCCAGATGGAATCTGTGCTGGCTTCAAATTGGCCTGGGAAGACTGCATCTGCACCTGCCATACCAGCTGGAGTGACAGGCATCTGCAGAGGCAGGGCCACTGAACAACATCCTCCAGGCCAGGCTTCTTCCAGCAAGGGACTATCTGAGAGCTAAGAACACAGAAGTGAGGTCAATGGCAGTTTGCAGAACAGCCAGATGTGCAAACAGGGGGACTTTTACTGTTCTCTTGTGGCATATACTCCCCTTGGTGTGGGATGCTATTCAGTTGTCTTTTCTCTTTTGGGGAGGGTACCAGGGATTGACCCAGGGTACTCAACCACTGAGCCATATCCCCAGCCCTATATTCTATTTTATTCAGAGACATGGTCTCACTGAGTTTCTTAGTGCCTTACTGTTAACTGAGGCTAGCTTTGAAATCTTGATCCTCCTGCCTCAGCTGCCCAAACTGCTGGGATTACAGGTGTGCACCACCATGCCTGGCTCATTGGTCTTTTCATGTACCCAAAACATTAGTCAAGTGGCCCCAAAGTGCAGGGTCCCTGTGCCAACAACCACATGTCCAGCTCCCCAGCACCCAGACTATGATGCAGAAAGGTATTTTCCTTCCTAGGAGCCAGAAGAAGTTAAACCACCTCCTCCACCACCTCCACCACCTATAAATACATGCCCCACAGTGATCGTCTCCTGTTGTGGGTGTGGACCCAGAGCAGTAGAGGTAAGAGGGGCCCATCAGTGGAAGTGCTGTGTCCCCCACATTAGGAAGGACTTGACTTTGTGGAACTGTTCACTTCATGCTGCAGAATAACCAGAGGCCCAAAACTTGTGGCTAAGGAAGGCAGTAAAAATGAGGGTTCACCCCACGCCAGTTTACTGTTCCATCAACAAGGGTTCTGTTATTAGAATCTGGAATTCTGGACTATGGCCAATAGTTAACTTCTGGCCAGCCTCTATCTTCAAGAGACTTAACCCTGGAGAAGTGGGTTTTGTTTCAGATTCATGGTCCATGGTAGGTAAGACAAGAAAGTGACAGAGAGACTTTAAGTTTAGGGACAATACAAACAAAAAGGACCAGTGCTTCCCAGAAATGTCATTGTCCCCAGACAGGCCTGACTCCAGGCTATTTGTATAGGGCAAAGGAAAAGCACAACCCATTGACTCTATAGCTCACTAAGATAGATTGACAAGAGTCACAACAGGAAGAGGCACAGATACAGACCCTGAAGGTCATCAAAAGTTCCCTGTGCAGGGGCTGAGCCCTAGGATATAATGTCAAAGCCTGAGGAGCCCTCCTTAGCCCAGAAGTGCCAGGGCCCATCTTGGTGAGGAAGAAGCAGGCCAGGCAACAGCCTTGGGCCTGGGACAGGGGTACACAGGCTCCCACAAAAATGGTGTTGGGGAAGGAAGAGAACCCAATTACCACTGGCTTTGTGCTCCTCCTCCCTGGTTCTGCCTGTCTTGATTGGATACATTACTCCTCCCGGGAGCTTCTAGCCCCTCTAAAGCCTCACAGGCAGCTGAGAAGCCAGGCCTGCAACAACCCTGAAAATGGGCCACAAAGAAGCCAAAACATGCTCTCCAGAGGACAAGGCCACTACCGATGGTCTGTTCCAGTCTGCAAGGCCTGGGCCTACCCACCCAGGGACAGAGAGGCCTGAACTCCAGAGGCCATGTGCTTTAGGGCCTTCCATGGTTCAAGGTCTCCTTCTGGCCTCCTCACTGCCTTCCTCTTCTCTCTGTCCAGGTCTCAGGTACCTGCTCATAAGAAGGACATTGATACCACTTTTCTACCCAATCCCTGTGTGCCCCCCAAATTTAAATCCCCTCCCCTTCCTGGAGCTCCTGCTCAGGACCCAAGGCCTACCACATGTTCCCTTTTGAGGACGTCTGCTTGCCCACCACACATCCCTCTCTACATTTGTTTTTCAGGGTGATCCTGACTCCTGTTGCCAGTATGTCTACCCAAGCTGCTGCCCAATGCCATTGACTTGGTATCATCCCAGGGACCAGGTGAGCCAAACATGGGGATGCTCCCAATGGGAAGAATGGCCACCATTGTGGCCCTTGAACAGTTGCCCTTTGGTACTGTGCCTCATAGCCTCAGAGCCATGACTGAGCCTATGCTAGAAGGAATGCCTAAGACATGGGACAGGTCATGTTTCTCATGAGTTTCCCTGACAGTGTCTGTGCATGGCCCCTGTGCAGTCCTCCTGCTATGCACTAGAGACCAGCAGGGCTGGTGGATGTGATTGATAGTGCTGCAGGGCCAACACTGACCCTTTTACCAGGTGTTAAATCTCTGGCCTTCTTTTATCATCTGGTGACATAGGGGAAAAAACACATCACTTAGTTGTCTTCCTTGGAATGATACAATACGGATGGCTATTATTTAGTGAGTCATCTGGTGGGCCAAAGGTGAGCCTCAGAACCTTCCCTGTTTTCATCGTCCCAGTAACTGTACAGGAGGTACTAGTAGATTCCCAGTTTGCCTTTAGGGGCAAATCAAAGAAAAATTGAGTGACCTGTTCCATGTTCAAAGTCTAGGACTCAGAGAGTTGGACTTGAATTTGGGCCTGGTTCACTTCCTTCATTCACCCAATTCCCTATGAGGTCAGCTTTATGACCTTGTGATGGTTATTCTCAAGTCACTAGAAGGCTGCCTTGATGAGGCCAGACCCTTGAGAGTTCTCTTCTGACTTTCCTTGGGGCTCATGTGCCCAGACCCTTCCCCCCATTCTCGAGCCTTCTACAAAGAGAAAGTTAAGAGCCTGGAGGATGGTAGTCAGTGCCCAGGAACTCTGTGACTGCAACTCAGGTAATACCACCTGAATGGAGTCAAACCCAGCCCTCATTGGCTGGGCGTGTGCATATTTAGTATGTCCATGCTGGCCGAAAGCCTCTGGATACTGTTGATAAGAAGTGAATGAGAAGGCCTCTGTTGCTGGCTGACATGTAACAGAGCATAACTTGGTGATGGAGCCTCTGGGGCTCCCCAAGAGATTGTTCCACTCAGTGTCTCTGAAAAAGGCCATCAGGCCAAGCCAAGGTTGGCACAGATGACCATTCTCCATGTGCTTTCTCATGGAGCCTCTCCACATTGCAATTGCCCCCATGCCCACACAGACACTCACCAGTCTTGTGCTCTGAACAAGAGGAGACACCCACCCAGAGAAGTTCACTCAGGTAGGATGGACAGAACTAGATGGACAGCTGTGAAAATGAGGTACCTCAAGAAGAGGGAAAGCCAGAGGCCAAAAGTGGACATAGGAAAGAAGCCAGAAATGTCCTCCTGTCCAACAAGGTGTGAGTATGAGCAATTCCAGTGATCAGTCCTGTGAAACAAAAATTTGGAGGACAGTGGCCAAGTGATTGTATATAGAGAGTTTCCCATCTCTGCCCGGCCTCTCGATTGTCATCTCAGCATGTCCAACCTGAAATCTTATGGGCAGGAGGGTCCATCTTGTGACACTAAGGTCAAAAATGTACACAGCCCAGAGAAGGCCAGAAAGTTTCCCACAGCCACCCAAACAGTCAGTAGAAGCATCTAGAGTTATGTGAAATCAACCCCATCTCTCACCTAAACCCAAGGAAACCCATAGCTATGCCTTACAGAAACCCCCTTATGGCTCTCTGCCACTGTCCATTTTGACATAGCCCCTCCCAACCACAGACCCACTGAGTGCCAAGTAAGGCTTCTGTTGAGTTCCACGTAGTTAGGGATGTTGGGAGGAGTTCCAGGTCTCTCCTTTTAAGCTTTCAGTGTACTGGTCCCAGGGCTTAAAGTGAGCCAGCCAATGAAGTAGATGAGTGGGTGTCAGGTGGGACCTACAGTCCTCTACAGGGCACAGGCAGCCTTCAGCCCCAATCCTGCATATACATGGCCCAGCCTGCTTGGCAGGGTCAACCAGGTTCCTCCTTGAAGTCACTTGGCAATGTATTATCAGGCCATGGCCTTCTTGCATAAGCAGAAAGAGAGCCCTTGTTGTTGGGAACCTGAGAGACCAGGTTCCTCCTAACTGACTTTTCAGGTAGGATAAGTGATAAAGTTAGGATAAATGATTTATCCCTATCTTAGGAGCTCAAGCCCAGGTGTGATGTATGGCAGTATCAGTCAAGGGGCCTGCCCAGGATAAGTGCCAGCTATCTGTCATTGCAGGCCATCTGTGTCCTTTCATCTCTCTTCCTGATATTCCTCTCAGGGCTTCACAAATGCCCTCTTGCAAGGTTTGGCAGGAAGTGGAATCAGCAGGGTTAGAGTCCTGACAGAACTGGTGGTGCCCTCCCTCCACCCACATTCCACCCAGAGGGAAGGCTGTTTTGAATCTCCTCTTCCTGACATGGAAAGGCAAACAGCCCTGGGGAGATGAATGAGCTCAGCAAGTTAATGAATCTGTTCAGATGGAGCTGGTCTTGAACTCACAGGAACTGCTATCTCCTAAAGTCTCATTTAGTTGCTTTTTTCAACAAATCCAGACATTTTTGCACTTCGGCACATCATAACCCAGGAAGTTCTAAAATGGCTCAGTTTGCCCTAAAATTTGGCATTTTCATAGTGAAAGCAGTCCATCTTGTTTACTTTCCACTTTTGTAAAATAAATGTGTTCCTCTGCCCCAGAGGAACTTTTCTAATTGTGACCCCTTTGAGATCAACTCACACATACATACAAAATGAAGCAGAAAGATTCAGTCCAGTTTGTTAATCTTAAGCCAAATCCTGCATCCCTTTAAGGGTAGGATTCTCTTCCTTCTTTGCCTTAGGTGGCAGTCATTACACAGGTAGAAAGTGTACCTCCTAAATCAGGAAAATCAGGCCAATGTGAAATCTCACTCTCGCTCCCTGAATAGTATACCTACAATAATGGCACAGGCTTTCCAATGAACACCTGTCCTGTGCCTGTCACTGAAGGAGGCCTGTCAGGATCTGGATCTCATCTCATTCTCACAGCAGCCCTGGAGGGATAGGAACTGTATTGACATCGGCACTGTTTTAAGTACTCTCCACAAACTGAGGCTTAACCAAACCAGCCACTCTATTGTTGGAAGGAAGCTACAGGCCCTACAAAGTCAAGTAACCAGGTCATAGCCACGCAACCATGAGGCAATAGGGCCAACACCCAATGGCCTGACTCCAATCTATTGGCCATATATGTGACTCCATCTTTGTCCTTGGAAATGGTTACTAGTCTGCATTTTTCAATGGTGGAAACCACAGTTGTGATATTTAGTGATGGGCTCAGCATAGCAGGGTTGCTAAATGGTATGACTAGGTTGTGAAGTGACCCCAGGGTAGGCTCACTTTCAAGTCCTGGCTCCTCTCCATTGTCATGTTATCAGGGTGATCTATGGAGACATCTAGAAAATGGATCTTTTTACAGTACTCAATGTGATAGATGCAAATCATTTGTGAATATTCATATCTTGATTTTTTTAAGGTCACTTGCTGAGCTCCTTATAAATTTGAACTCATCTGTTTGTGGATAAAGCTGTTGTTCTGGATAGCAGTGTAACTTGATAATGAATGGGCCACAAGATGCATTCATGACCAAGGGATTACTGCATTTTCCTTCTTATTTTACCTATGGATTGAGGTATACCAAGGGAGTGATGAAGCTGGGGTTGGGCTCTAACTGCCCAGATTCATACATAACTTATTGTTGTCCTGTAAGTCAGTGCTTTGTAGAATTCTCACAGTCTAATAATGCCTCACCACCCTTATACATACTTGTTGCTCCTTAGAAATACCAGGAAATCTAGAAATATTACAAAAATTCTAAAGCACTGACAGTGAGTGCTGTTAACCAAATATTTGCCAAACACTTTGTGGAATGTCCCATTACTGTGGAGTAGCTGAGCCAATGTGAGCAATATTATATTGCTGTCTTGGGTCTCTGCAATCAACAGCCAGAGAGGGAGACTTCTCGATTCTAGACACCTCTCTCCTCTCATTAAGTCTTCCTCATCAATTCACGGACAGTCTCTGCAAATAATTAGACTCCAGACTCTGCTGTTTAGAGACCCCTGTCTCCTCTTCATCAGTACACCTGCTGATCCATACCTCTGCACTAGTGACCTGGGGGCCTGCTCTTGAAAAAGTCAAAGTCTTCCCACAGAAGGTGTTGAACACCAGGCCTATAGTGATTGTTCATCCTCTGGAGTAAATAGAGAGAGAAAAAAAGAGCTATAAACAAACATAAAGGAATTTCTTATATTCATAGGAGAAAAAATACCTATGCGTAAGTATAACAAAAATGTACTTACCTATCATGAAAAAAAAAAAATCAAAAAACTAGGCTGTTTGCAAAAGTAGATTTGAAAATATAAAAACTTGAACCGCAATGCTGATTTTTCCTCAAGGAATTCATGAACATAATACTACTGTACTGAAAATTGGAAGGAAACATTCTTAAGTAATTTGATCAAAATGATTCTAAAATTTACCTGAAATTCTACATAATTAAGAATAGCTAAGGAATTTTTGAAAAACAACACTGGGGAGAGAATATTTGCCTTGATCCTACCCTAAAACTTTAAGCTCCAACAATTAAAATAACTAAAGCAATCTCCAAGCAAAGTTATTCCAGGACCAAAAACAGGTGTGGCACCAACACAAGGTTAAACAATTGTCCTTGCACAGAAATATTTATTGTGTAAAGGATTTAAAAATGTATGAGATGTTAGGCATCTAGGCCATTGATTGCTATGAAGCTGCTGTATTTGTGAAGTCATTAATTTTAAAGCTTTGTTGCAGGCTTTACACAAAGTTGTGATTCTGGCAGTTTTTAGTGATAGCTCTTGTTAATCAGGCACATGTCCATGAAATCTCCTCCTCCATAAACTCTCAACTTCTTGTATCATATCTTTCATTTTTGTTAGAGGTTGACCCAAGTGACTCCATTTTGAATATGATTTGATTTGATTAACAGAGAGCATCAACAAGACCACTCTGTCATTCCTGACTGGTCCTGACTCCACTGCCTTAATCCACGCAACTGAAGTCTTCTGGCCCAATTCCAGAAGCATCTCAGTGACTTCTCTTTCTTTTCTTCCCTACAGAGGTACAACAACATTGTCTTGATGAAACCTCGTGTTGGACGGGTCCCCTGCAACTCAAAGATCGTCCTGCCACCCCTTAGGGAATACTGTCAGTTCACACAGGCACCCTGCTCCCCAAAGAGCTGTCTTGCACCAAGCAGGGACTATTTCCCTGCCCCACAGGAACTGTGTACCTCAGGGGTCTGTCTTCAACCAGCTCGAGAGTGCTGCTCCATGACACATACACCGTGCACCCCAAGGATATGCATGCCACCCAGCAGGGATTGCATTTCCCTCAACAGCTACCCTCAGTGCCAGCAGCCCCCACCTAAGTACTCCCAGTCTTGCTTCAGAATACTTCCCCTGCTCCCTCCCTCTGCCCGGAAATCTATAGACTCCCTAGGTCACCCTCAGAACCCTCGCCCTATATCTAAAGGACCCAAAACCTAAGATTAAGAGGTCTTTGTTGCTGAATTAGACACATGTATTGAGTCTTGGTTTATAGTGCAAAGGTGTTGGGGTTTGCTGCTGATCAGTATAAGTGTGTCACCTGGAGAGATGCTCTAGTGTCTAAGATATATTTATACTTCACCAGCCAGAACAAAGTACTCTGGTATGTGGATAACACCAGGCATGGATGATGCCACTTCCAACAGCCCTCTCACCAAGAGCTAAGAAGAAAAGGGCTTATGCCAAGTTCTCTATAAAAACAAAAGCCCCCAAAGTCTTTAAACACAAATACTCTCCTCAGTATCCTTCCTTCATTTGTTGC